TGCATTTGGTTTTTCTTGCCTAAATGTAGAACCTTGCTTTTTTCACCATTGAATTTCATTTTGTTAGATAGCGCCCAGTGTTCAAGTCTGTCCAGATCCTTCTGTATCTTAAGCCTGTCTTCTGGAGTGTTGGCTATTCCTGCCAGCTTGGTGTCGTCTGCAAATTTGATGAGTTCCCCATCTATCCCCTCATCCAAATTTTTGATAAAGATGTTGAAGAGCACTGGGCCCAGAACAGAGCCCTGGGGCACCCCACTATGATGATGAGAAGAAAGGACTCACTGGAGAAGCGCCTAATGCTGGGAAAGATTGAGGGCAATAGAAGAATGGGAAGACAGAGAATGAGGTGGCTGGATGGAGTCACTGAAGCAGTAGGCATGAGCTTAAATGGACTCCAGAAGATGGTAAAGGACAGGAAGGCCTGGAGGAATGTTGTCCATGGGGTCGCAATGGGTCAGACACGATTTTGCAACTAACAACAACAAAATTTATAGCCCTCAGAATCAAACCTCCATTCAGAGCTACTGGTAGAGACTCTTCTAGTACCCAAGGGAAAATTGGGAGGGGGAAGTTGTCTTGCAAACCTCTTAACTTTTTGCTGCCATGCCTGATAAATTAAATGGTTGACTCATAGATTCCCTTCAGGTCTCGGAAATATATACATATTTTATATTATTTCTTCCTCTGTGTATGAGGTACTTCATGATTTGCATGTAAGGTGACATCTGTGTATCTCTCTGAGAGATTAAGGAAAAATAGGTTGCAGACACTATTCTGAGAGGTCTTATAATAACTTCCTGCATCCCCACTGAGCATCAGGATCTGGATAGTTCCAAAATGAAGGCATTGTGTATGGTCTCTAGGTATGGCATGTATTGTGGCAAACATGGATGTATTATTTAACCAATCATTGTGAAAGAGTATACTCGAAAGAAAATTACATGAGAAATAATGAGTGTTTCTTTTCCCCAAATATGGACTCTGTACAGAGAAGTGGTGAAACAGTTTAGGAAGAGATGACTTGCCCAACAAACAATCCAGCCTTCTCAGTCTGATAATCTGGCACATTTTTTGGGGGTAGATAATGTGTCCCTTGTTTTTCAAAAATTCAGCCATAAATGATAAAATTGATATTGTATCCAGGGCTTTTTTTCTCATAGAACACTCAGAACGGAGTTCCGGCACCTTTTTTGGATGGAACCTTGTAGGGTAGGCAAGGCGGGTTGTATGACGTGTGAAAAAAAGCACTGATTGTATCCATTGTTAACCCGACTCCTGGCAGATTGGGAAATGGTCCAATTTCTTAGTTTGAGAGAGGTCTAATTAGTCGATTCCTGAAGAAACTACAATGCCATCTCCAACTTTCCATCAGAATCAACACCGTTAGAAGCCTAGATGCTTTTCTTGGAGGGTGCTCAGGGTTCTCTGAGACACCTGCTCCCTGTCCCAATATCCCAACGTGATTTTGATATCATGGAATGCCTCTGTAGGTATTCTAATGTGTGCAGATTCCAGCTAGGACCCTATTCCTCTTTTGCCCCTCTTGAAAAGGTCTAAATTTCTAAGGACCACATTGTAGGTAGCCCCGTGTATTAATGCAATTCTAAGGAAGGAGGCAAGACTAGTGCATGGATCTTCATTATAATACATTGGCTGAAACTACTGTTCTTCTCCACAGGTCTGAGCCCTTTCCTTATGGAGAATAACTATAAATCAACATGGATTAGAACTATGTTATTAAAACTCCAACATCTCGGCCTCTCCAAGAATGAGTTTCTAATGATGGGCTATAAGCATGCACTTAGTGCATTTAAACAAAGTATTAAAGATCAGGAAGTTCAACAGGACCAGTCTGCTTTACCCAAGAATGTTTTCTTGAACAGACAGCCCCCCCCCCCCAACCCAGCAAGATATTATACAGCTGTCTCTAAATTTTAGGGGGCATTATCTATAGCATGCTGTAAACGGTCTACCCAGAGCTGTTCTGGAAGGCCAATATAAAAAGGTTCCATATGAGCTGAGACTGTGTCCTTGTGGATAAGGGGCCATTGAAACTACAGCCAATATCCTGTTGTATTGCCCCCTCTGTAGGGACTTACGGACTCATAACATCTTACCTAATTAAATATCCCGGAAACTCTTGATTATTTTTATGTAAAATTTTATTGTTGGATCAGTATGATTCAGTTTCTCTGAATATAGCTAAGTTTTGTTGCACTGTCTGTAAAATTAGGCAGACTTTGGTCACCCATTGATTTCACCATCAAGTGTAATATATTACTATGCCTTGTTCTGTTCTGTTCGGTTCTGTTCAGTTTTGTTTTATTGTAATGTTTAATTTTTTTGTGGTGGTCCATAACTGTAATAAAGATTGAATTGAATTAAATAATGCCTGCAGAAATTTTATTACATGCAAATGTCCAAGAACTCTGCTTATGTTAATGAGGACTTTATTTTAAAGTTGCCAAGATGTGTTTTTTGAGATCTGCATATGTGCCTATGTCAATGCTGAATTATTTCATACAAATTAATATTTTTTTACAGCAGTGCTGTCTTTGGTATGTATGAGGTCCTAAACTATACTTTTCTATCCTTTCTTCTGTATGAAATTTACATTTCTGGCCTTTGAAATCCGTAAAATGGCTTTATTGTTTAACTGAACTCTTCTCTTTATATCAAGCAGCTGCAATTGGGTTCTGTCACAAACATATTTTCATTGCTAAAAAAAAATTCATGTATCCCAAAACTGTTTTCTATACTTTAAATGTGGCCACAACTGCAACAAGCAAAAATCACGACATAGTTGCAGATGTTATAAATTCAACTCATATTTTGTCGCCCTTTGTGAGTACCTAAGGTTGGGGATGATGCCACCATTTTCATGCAAGTGCTAATAAGAGAGTGATGAAGTGACACAGGTTTTCTCCTTCTCTTATAATCTGCTGCTTAAATGTAGTGAATAATGAGGAAGTGCCTTTATTGACTTTCTTAGACCTGTGAACCTGTGCCACTTCCTCGCTCTCTTATTCAAACTCTAAAAAAGAGATCCAAATTGTAAACTGCTTTGTCAGATTTGTCAGAAAGTGTGGAATATGTTAGGAAGAAAGGAAAACAGCGAACCTGTTTAAAAAGCCCAAGTTGTTTTTCATTATTATATATCACTTGAAAGTGAGACAGGTACACTTGGTATGGCATCTTTGACTTGTTTTTATGCCTCCTAATTTGTAACAAAATTTCTTCTGTGCTTGGTTACTTAGATTACTCTGTAACTCAAATATAATTAGTGTAATCAATTAACATAAATATAGAGAGAGCAGAAGTGATTTTAGACAAATTATAGTCACAATGGAAAACACAATGCAATTTCATATTATTAGTTTATAAAAATAGCACTAAATATTGGTGTTCATTACTGAGATATTTCATATATAATAAAAAGATGAACCATTCTGAATGCTTCAAATGCTCTCTATAAAGTATTATCAGAAGATGTACTATTATAGAAGCATTAAAAAGTTATCCTTCATTATTATTTATCTATTGTTGATATTTCATTCAAAAGTTACATATGATAAAATGTACTTGTTTATTTTCAGTAGAAAAAATCTATGAAAAAATATCAATTCTAAGGTTTTTCTATCAATACTTATGAAATACCTATCTTTCTTAAAATAAAATGAATTAATAATAAAGTGACAGATAACTGCATGAACAATACAGTAAATAGGTTTCTTTCTATACAGAAATTAAAGGATATGGTAATTGTTACAGACTCATCTACTGTTTTAATTTTAGAAAAAAGATACATAAACTGTAAAGTTGGTACTCTTCAAAGGAAAACTCACCGAATTAGTTTTCTCCATCTCAGAAATTAGGACATTGGTTCCATTAGTAGGCAGAAGAACATCAGAATTTTGGTTGCATGAAATATATTCAGCAGTTTGAACTTTGGGAGTTGGAAAAGTAATTTCATGTATCTTGGACTCAGAGGATAAGCAGAGCTGATAGGAATAAGGAATAGTTCCTTCCTCATAATTTGGTGGGAATATAATGGCATTGCTTGAATGGGGAATGGGAGCAAAGCATGG